CACAGAAAGTTATTATCTATTTTTAATCTAATTCAGTTTATACTCAAGCAGCTGCCACCCAGTATATTAAATCTCATTAGGCTATACTTTATACTATTATCTGGATATCTGGATAAAATAAATTCATAATAAAATATGAAAGTGGTTTACAGCAATATTCTGGACTCAAAGTTGTGTTTGCATTTTAAATTTGCCATTGCTTTGCAGAATTAAATCATAACTTTATTCAACTTTTATTTCTAAAATAAAGTAAGGCATTCAATGTCTGCTCTGCAGGAGCAATATAGGGATGCTAAGATACTGAAACTATTTTATTGTTACAAGTTAGAAAATTATTCAGCAATTACATGTATTAATATTGTTCTGTTACTTCTCATTCATTTATTTATTAATTCATTCAATAAATCCATCTTACTCACTTTTCGTTTTCAATAGCTAGCCCAAAAGAAGAGGGATAAAAATGGTTGCACATGACCTCTGTCATAGTTGCTGATGGAGGAATCGGTCTCTCTCTTGGCTTGAATAGTTCCAAATGTTTTTTTTTTTCTGCTGTGTTTTGTCTTCTGGACATTAGTAAATATCAACAATTGTCAGGTGGGTTCATTATGTCATTAGGTACACCAGGTCAGAAAATCAACTTGACAGAAGAAGCAGAACCATCCTTATTTAAATGGGCTATAAAAACAGAATCCTGCGAGTCTGATTGTGCTGTATCTCCTTTCCCTTTAAATACCCCAGTGAATCAGGGAGCTTTCTGCCTAAGCGGCTTTCAAACATTATCTTGTTACCACTAATTAAAAATGTTACAGTGCCTTGCCTAGGTTCTTTGTTTCTTTTCATGGGCCATATTCTTTATTCTCTACATCTATAATGGAACATGTGGATGTCCTTGGAGGACAAGGAGAAGAGAATGGCAGAAGGCAATTTTGTACCTTCAGACTTTCAAAATTGTATCAATGTAGCCTTACAACCAAGAAGAATTAGCTCAACTGGTCATGTTTCTTATCTGGTTTACCTGGGATGACTAACATCACCTTAGTACTGTTTAATGTCATTGATGTGAAAAAGTTGGTACTTCTGTCAAAGGAATCACAGGAAACATTCTTGTTAGGACAATCCTATTTAAACATCATTTTTTCTCTTCTGGAGAGGAAAGCATGTTTGCATTCCTTCTAATGACATGAAATGCTCAGTCTTGAATTGCTATGCTTCTTCACTTTCCTTCAAGTCTAGAATTGCATACAAAGATTCTCTTGTTGATTGTCCACCTTCCATGACCTTCCTAATATTTTGTTTTGAACTGCACTTCATCTGAATTCAACTAAAATCAGAAAGGACAACATAATTCCAGATGTACTACTAATATCCACAGAGCAGACGGTGATCTGTGAAGTGATCCCATCGGCTTCTAGTTCTGCTAGTTCAAATTTCCAGCAGTTGCTACTAGGACAAGAAGCAATCACAGAGCCCTACAGTTGGAAGGGCCACCAGATTTAATCTCCTGCTATTGCAGGGATAGTACAAATTAAAGTAATGCAGACAAAAAGCTGTTTTTTTTCTCCACTTCAGTACACCCAGGAGATGTTTTAATCTTACAAAGCAATTTAGCTAGTAGTTAGGCTCAGTTGTTGAGTTTTCCTGTTCTGAATTTAAGGAGGAAAACTTGCTTTCAGATGGTTTAAAACCTTAAACATTCTGCCTTGAGCTTGGAGGGGTTACTCCAATGGCCTTGTTCACACATTCTGTTAAACCATAATAAATTCTGTTTGGTTGTTATTTTAGTGTTGAATGGAATCACCCATTACAATTTAGTACAATATATTTATTAGGCCACATTCAATAAACCATGTTAAAAAAATCCTGGTTTAGCATATGTAAACCCAGCCAGGAGTTCAGTTCAGCAATTGTTGGCTTTAACTCTATTTGGTAGTATATAAAATGAAGCCAGTTAGAATGATTTCCTAAAACTAATGAACTTCAATATGATTTAATGTGTGAACCCAGCCAATTAGTCTCTGGGTGCAATTCTACACATATTGAGAGTATGTTCTAAGAAACTCAATGGATCTTAGTTTAAATAAACATAACAAAATTATGATACCCATCACATTTATTTACTGCCAACACAAGGTAATAAGAAAGGATTGCAATAATCTTTTTAACTTCTCCTGTTCTTCTGTCTTTCTGCAGCTACAATTTCTGTACACTGGGTTGCCATTCAAGATATATATGGCAGGGCAATTTAAAATAAAAGTGACACACCTTTTTTAAACAGTCTTGATAGAAAGCAGGACACCAACTATTCTGGTACTAAGTGGCAGACTGAAAAAGTGCCTGAGTGGGCCTGGAGTCATTTAATCCAAACAGCATTTATAATATTGATGAAATGAGAGAGTTTTGCTACAGAACCCCTTCGACAGAATTCACACTGTTAAGCTGAAAGTTTACTTGTACAAGCATTTCTTAAAAGTATATATCAGTACATTAATTTTCCTTATGATTTTTTTTTTAATTTGGTGGGCAGGAAGACAATTTACACTGCTTATAAGAAAGTCAAAATAAATTATGTAGTTTTTTTAGATGCAGGAAAGCTTCATGGGGCTTTGTCCCCAAAGGTGCTTTTTCAGGAGGCAATTGGACTTTCTTGTTTTTCTTTGAAAACATTTCGCTTCAAAGCAGAGCAAAACGTCTTCAAAGAAAAACAAGTTGTCCAGTTGCCTCTTGAAAAAGCACATTTGAGACAACCATGACCTGGATGACTGAGAATCTCCATAGACATTCACATGGCTTTGTGGACAGCCAATCCTAAAGTAGCATCTGCAATTCCTGCTTAGCATATTCAAACTTGGATCAGGCGACTAGATATGATGCTTAAAGCAGGGCTTTTCAACCTTTTCACCCATTGTACCACTTTTAGGATATGGCAATATCCAAGTACCACCAGTCGCCTAGCAAGATGTCAAAAACACGATGACCAAAAAGAAAAAAGGAAAAAAAGTGATAAAGTACAGGTAGTCCTCAACTTACAACAGTTCGCTTAGTGACTGTTCAAAGTTACAATGGCACTGAAAAAAGTGCCCCCCAAGCCACAGCTGAGCAAGACACCTGCCTGCCCACCCAGTGGCGCTCTTCCTCCTGTCTGAGGTTTCCATTGTTGTGAGCATTTCTGTTGAGGATTGGCAGCGGGGGTGGGGTGGGGGTGTTTGGTTTTATTCCCCCCGTCTGCTGGGTGGTTGCAGCAGGTTTTGGTCACTTCACACGACCCTGGGACACTGTGACCATCATAAATATGAATCAGTTGCCAAGCATCTGAATGTAAATCACAAGACCCTGGAGATGCTGCAACATTCCAGCTGATTGGTGCTTCTTCTGGGCTCAGCAGGAGGGCCAGGATCAGTGCAGAGCTCCAGCTGGAGCCTGGTGCTGATCCTGGCACTTCTACTGAGCCCTGACAGCCCTGCAGCTCCAGCCATCTCTCACTCGCTTGTGCAGTGCTGCCACTGGTTCAGCTCATTCCCCTCCCCCGCTACTTTTCTAGGATGGTCACGTACCACCTGCCAGGTGCCAATGTACCAGAGGTGGTACCCGTACCACTGATTGAAAAGCCCTGGCTTAAAGGATTGTTCGACTCTTGCACAGCTGCTCAGCTCAACTTTATACTATAAAACATAATTGATGCATTAGCATCAATTATGACCCCAAGAGGGTTTTTTCAATCAATCAATAGCAGCAGAACTACTAAAATGAAGCTACCTTTGTCCGATAAAAATATTAACACAATTTAACTGAGATCATTTTAATAACAAAGTTGGCTTAAAAATAAAATGGTGAGAGAATAATTTTAAATTCTAGAAATTGCTTAGAACAATAGAAAGCTACTTAGATATGGACGGATTGGCAAAGTTTATGATAGAGATCGGTCATCAAAGGAGTTGAGAGGGTGTGCTTTTGGAAAATAGTTGCAAATGACCATTTCATCATCAAACTGATTTATTCATTCACTTATTAAATAGATCTACGTGGCCATCCAACTAACACATGGTGACTCCAGACTGTGTTCAAAATTAAAGGTCAATAATATAAAAGACCCAGAAAACTTCCACCCCTTGTGGCAGCAACAAACAACCATACAAGCCACTTGATCAGCTCCAAGTCCCCAGGCCTGCTGATAGAACCATGTCTTCATTTTCAGAAAAGTATCAAAGAGGGGGCCAGTCTTATTTCCAAGGGAATGATGTTCCAAAGGGAGGGAGCCATTGCAGAGAAGACCCTTCTTCTAGGTATTATTCCCTAATAAATGGGATCTGCAACATATGCTGGCTTCCCACTCTGGTGGGCTAGGTAGATGTAACCAGGAAAAAATGGTTTAAAGGTGATGCTTTCAAAAATGCAGAGCTTTAAAAATGATGCTTACAATAATGCAAGAGAACCAGGGCAATAAAACCACATAGGTTTATTAGAGGAAGTACCAAAGTAGCTTGTAACAAAATAACAAAGTAACAGAGTTGGAAGGGACCTTGGAGGTCTTCTAGTCCAACCCCCTGTTCAGGCAGGAAACCCTACACATTTCAGACAAATGGTTGTCCGCTCTCTTCTTAAAAACTTCCAGTGTTGGACCATTCACAACTTCTGGACACAAGTTGTTCCATTGAATAATTGTTCTAATTGACAGGAAATTTCTCCTTAGTTTTAGGTTGCTTCTCTCCTTGATTAGTTTCCACCCATTGCTTCTTGTCCTGCCTTCAGGTGCTTTGGAGAATAGCTTGACTCCCTCTTCTTTGTGGCAAACCCTAAGATATTGGAACAGTGCTATCATGTCCCCCCTCGTCCTTCTCTTCATTAAACTAGACATACCCAATTCCTGCAACCATTCTTCATACTTTTCAGTCTTCAGTCCCCTAATTATCCTTGTTGCTCTTCTCTGTACTCTTTCTAGAATCTCAATCTCTTTTTTACATCATGGCAACCAAAACTAGATGCAATATTCCAGGTGCAATCTTATCAAGGCATTATATAAAGTGGTATATGATCTTGATTCCATCCCTCTATTAATGCAGCCTAGGACTACATTGACTTTTTTGGCAGCTGTAGCACACTGCTGACTCCTACTTACGATCCCTCTCGTAGTTGAGCCAGGTACCACCTATTCTATACTTGTGCAGTTGATTTTTCTTGCTTAAATGTAAAACCTTACTTTTCTCTACATTTAATTTCATTTAGTTAGATAGGGCCTAGTGTTCAAGTCTATCAAGATCCTTCTGCATTTTGAGTCTTTCTTCTGGAGTGTTGGCGATTTCTGGCAGCTTGGTGTCCTTCTGTTCTTCAAATATCTCAAACAGAATATTCTGTTCTGTTGTTCCAATATCTCAAAGTTCCTCCAAATCATCTATTGATCTAGACAGACTGAAAGAAAGAACAACCAGCTTTGGAGTTACAGTTTTAACTTAAGGATTATTTACTTAAGGATTAATAATATTAATCAAGTTTAAAGTGATAATAGGTTACTTTGTTTAAGCATTCTAAAATAAGTCTCTGAATCTGAATAAGTTCTTTGAGTAGAAACTTAATCAGATTCGGTGCTTATTTCTGAATGGACATATAGAACTGCACTAAAGATTGACTGAAATAACAGTAGATAATCCTTTCTTTTTCTTAACAGGAAAATTTCTAGGGTATTAGGCACATTAGTTTGTTACATCTTAATACACCAGCACATTTATTACAGCACAAACTTTAAGGAACTTTATTCTACTTCATAAGAACTTGTTGAGCCATATTGAGTTTTATTTGTTGCTTGTTGAGTCACAGTTGGCAGCCATATAAATTTGATTAATAAATAAAATGTTTGCAGTCCCATCAGTGTAATAAAATAGTTTAAAAATATTGATTAGTACAATATATGATTGTTCCATAAAACCAGCTACCTTACTTTTAATTGTAACCCCTCCACCACAAGTAACAAGAGGTCATACCCACATCAGACTTGATCAGCAAATATCCAAGAAATTTAATGTGTTAAAATGTGTTAAATTTATGGACAGACGTTTGCTGCCATCTGCTGTTATAATATAAGAATAACATTCTTATGTTTTAACATAGGCCTGTGAATTGAAATGTTACATTTTCCATTACAGTGCTATTTATATTTACAAGTCCTCTGAAAGTAAAGGTACAAGAAGAAGTGGCTTTCAATCCCTTGTGGTGCTTACCTCTCCTATAAAAAGGACAATGTCACTTTTTGACAAATAAAAGGGGAAGAAATGGAAGAAGCGGCAGATTTTATTTTCTTGGGTTCCAAGAACACTGCAGATGGCTACTGGAGCCCTGTAATTAAAAGTTGCTTGCTCCTTGGGAGGAAAGCAGTGCCAGGTATTTTTGTACACACAGACTGTTGGATGGAATCCCATACATGCAGGAAAGGTTTTGTTAAGACCTAAAAACAGAACCACTTTTTTTTAAAGGAAACTATATTTATTTATTTATTTATTTATTTATTTATTTATGAGACTTATATACCGCTTTAAGTGCAAGCACTCTCTAAGCGGTGTACACCAGTAAGCAATGTATATATATATTTACATTGCCCCCAACAATCTGGGTCCTCATTTTACCTACCTCGGAAGGATGGAAGGCTGAGTCAACCTTGAGCCGGTGAGATTTGAACCGCTGACCTGCTGAACACAGTCAGCTAAAGTGGCCTGCAGTACTGCACTCTAACTGCTGCGCCACCTCGGTTTGTGTTGAGTAAAAAAAAAAAAAAACTATTGGAATTGAAGCAGAAAAATTATCTGATGGGGATTCCCATGCAGTCCTAAGCTTTCATATTTGTTTTCAGCTTCTCATATATTATCAGATCTTCACATCTGCCAAGCCCAGATTAATAAAATCACAGTTCTTCTAGAATCCCAGGGAACAATATTTCCCAGCAGAAGGAGAACTTGCCATCTTTCAAGGAGAGATTTTTTAAAAAAAAGATTATCTCTTTGTAATGACTTTGTGTCAATTGACAAGCAATATAGGAACTCTATGATCCACAACTCTGACTGTCCCTGATAGCTTGGCCAGTTTCTTTCCAGCTTGGCTGCAGTGGGACACTTTTTTTTTTTTTTTACAAATAAAATGTCATAATTTTCCAGGCAAAATTTCAGGGATCTCCTGCCTCACCCTTCCTTCTGACTCCTGAGCTTCAGTTTTCCAGCAGGTTCTTGAAGAGTACACTGGCTAGATTTAGCAGAGATGTATTCCTTCTGCTAATTTCAACTGTTTGGCAGGAGAGAAGCAACTGTGTAAAACACCAGCCTGCTTCAGATTTTGATTTCTGCCTTTTCCCTCTTGCTTAAAAGGTAAAGGGATTTGGGTCACTCCAACAGGGTAGAAAGGATGGCTGTGTGGAAGCACCCTTCAAATGAATGCCAGCCCTGCACCCTAAACAGTAGGCATTTTATTCAGAACCAATTGCCTGATCTCCCTGATGATAATTAACACTGCCGGCCCTAACTAGAATTAAAAGGGCTGAGAAAAGCACCTGTCTGCAGAGTCGATGCTACCTTCACAGTTCTCAAGATTTTTAACGTGGGAAGAATGGCAGCTAAGCAGCTGGGTACTTCCACTGCATTAAAAATATTCTGGTGCCACCCGCAAGAAAAATACACAACACATAATGGAAACATAATGTGTGGAGAGCAGGGATTCAGATGGAAAAATTATGGAGATGATTGTTCTTGTTACTTCAGCCTGGCAATAATTTGGGAAGAACACTGTTTGGACAATGTCTTCCATAGGCTCCTGATAGTCAGATGGAGAAAGAGTCATATTTGGCTCATTGTGTTCTCAGCATTTCAAAACTGAGATAATTGCATGAGAAAATTGGACAGACCCACTTCAAAATTTTGGAAGGATTAGGGAATGGAAGCTGTGCCCAGACACAGCTCATTTCCTTTATTAAAGTGAATGGAAAACTCTCCATCATACAGATCTCCCTCACTGATCAACCCATACTTGATTTATCTATTTTTTATTATTATTATTATTATTATTATTATTATTATTATTATTATTATTATGGATCATCGCACAGTCAGCCAGATGTTCAGACTGGATTTGGCATTTTGTCTACCTATCGAGTCCTCACTGTCATTGGTATTACCATGTTTGATGGTATTACAGATATCGTCGCAGGATGGAAGCAGTTCCTAGTAAGGCTGCCTTTTGCAGTTGACTAATAGCAAATTTGTCAATGCCAATGGTGTTCAAGTTGTTTTGGGATTGCACCCAAGGAGCCTATTACTATTGGTACTACCCTTGCTTACTTTTGCCACAATCTTTCTATTTCTATTTGTAGGTCTTTGTATTTTGTTATCTTCTCCAGTTCTTATTGACAGACTTTATCTACCAAGGCAAATAGGTGGGCATGGAATGCTACAAGTACATCAGATGGTTCAAGAAGAAAAAATCGCTTTGGAAGGATATCTGAAGAACAATGATGAAGATGCACTGAAATTAATATATCAGGAAGGCTTACTGACTACTGGAAAGACCAAATGAAGAACAGAATAGAGGCATGGGAAGACAAGGCACTACATGGCCAATACGTGAAAAAAATAGCTGGGAAAGCAGATAATAACAAGACCTGGCAATGGTTAAGAGCAGGAAAATTGAAGAAAGAGACCGAGGGACTAATTCTGGCTGCACAAGACCAAGCCTTAAGAACAAATGCATATAAAGTCAAAATTGAGAAGACAGCAACAGACAGTAAGTGCCGCCTATGCAAAGAAGCTGAAGAAACAGTGGACTACTTGGTAAGCTGTTGCAAGAAGATTGCACAGACTGACTACAAGCAGCGGCATGACAAAGTAGCAACAATGGTGCATTGGAAAATCTGCAAAAAATATCATTTGGCTGTAAACAAAAACTATTATTATTATTATTATTATTATTATTATTATTAATGACCAATGACCTGGGATAGGCAGATGTGGATGTTTGATATTATTACAGATATCGTCACAGGATGGAGGCGGTTCCTAGTAAGGCCACCTTTTGCATTTGACTAATGGCAAATTTGTCAATGCCGATGATTGTGTCCAAGTGATGCTCCAGTTGTTTTGAGATTGCACCCAAGGCGCCTATTACTATTGGTACTATCCTTGCTTGCTTTTGCCACAGTCTTTCTATTTCTATTTGTACATCTTTGTATTTTGTTATCTTCTCCAGTTCTTTCTTGTCTATATTATTATTGTTATTATTATTGTTACTACATTTCTCTCCTGTCTTCTGAAAATTCAAGAAGGTACACATGGGAAGGAGTTCAGTGCTCTATTACCTGCCTTTTTCTTTTCTTTTGCCAAGTCCGGTGCAATAGCTAAGACTCCATCCAAGGTTACATAAAGTGTTTCTCCTTATTCTGTGGCCTTTTCTTTGCTGTCTTCCTATTCCCCAATCTATTTGGTCAATTCTCCCATCTTTTCACAACTTATCTGAAGAACATACAACGAGCAGAAGAAACTCTTCTGCTTGTGGAAAGCCAGCCTTCAACATACTCCGTCAAAAGTTAAGGTAGAAAAATAAAGGCCAATCTTACAATATGTAAAATGAGGAATTCATTTGGGAGCAATCAAGGAAAGACCCACCACAAAAACAGAGAATTGTGTATTTATAAGAACAACTTTATTACTCTTACTGAGAAAATCAGAGTGCATGCACAAACTTTAATAGTAATCACAAAAGAGAAATAAAAACTAATTAGAAATATTTCCAGCAAAATTAACTGAAAGAAGAGTCTTCCAAACCTGGAGGTTTTCCAGAAAGTTTTGTTCTGTTGTCCAGGATTAAAATTGCAAGAGATTTCAGTGCAATAAATACCTGGGAATAGAGATGTTATATCACAAAATAGGGCTAAACGCAAGTCTGGTGGAATAATCCAGACCAGGTGCAAGTAATGAAACGGCATTTTTTTCTCTCCAGTGATTTCCACACAGTGACAGGAGACACCAAGTGCAAGTCAATTGTAGACATTTTTTCTTTCTAAAAGCTAAAAGGTGTGACATCATCTGGGTCAATGGGTCTTGAGCTTTTAAAGAGCTCAAGAGAGACAATTTTATTAAAACAAGGTAGTAATCTCTTTGATTTTAATGGTAAATTTAAACATATATTTAATGTTTTGTCCAGGGATACAAGCAAGCCTATATTTAGCACTATTTTATAATAAGACCTGGATAAGACTCATCTTCACTCCTCAGAAAAAAAGGACTCCAATGCCAATATATGTAATCTTCATTCATTCATTTTGTCTCCAGTAAAAAAGATAAAGAATATTAAGATAGTTTGTTTGCCTTTCTAGGGGTAGATAGCAAACATTGCTTTTATGGACCTACTTATGTCAGCTTGCAGGTAACAGAGATTCT